TTATTATTTTTTTGAAATCTTTATGATTACAATTGTTGCCGATTATTTTCATTGCTGTGATTATTATTCTTCTCATTATTACTACAATTACTAATGTTGTTCTTATGCATATTATTGTCCTATTTTCGTTATTATCGTTAATACTACTGCTTCAATCGTTGTATAGTCGTTGATTACTGCAGATACTCGTTCACTGCTCTATTCCTAAATCTCTTTATGCACTTATTCATTTGCTTATTTATATCAGTGCTGCTTATCTAACACAAATATTCGAAACATGTTCCGGAACCAATAAATTCTACTATCATCTTCATCAATGAATGCTATTGAATTTTGTACATATATTCATCCATCCCTCTAACGAAAGCAATACTCTCAAGAAAGGCTAATCAGTGAGGTTCACTTGAAATTGCTCAGTGATTTTCAGCTCTTATGACGTAAACGAGAAAAGACGCAACCAAACAGAATGCGATTATAGGAACATACGACGGTGGCAATCGAAAATAGCGAAAGAAACGTAAATCTTTCATACGCAAATATTGTACCGTTCCTTGGCGATACGTTTCTTCAGATGTGCTTCCATACTGTGCGAGAACATTTTCTGGTTGATCCATTTCCAGAAGTACTCAATCCAAGTGAAATACAGAAAGCCCCATTCCAACAGAATCGTAAACACCAACGGTATACCACAAAATGCGTACATCATTGAGAATATCTGACCAGCTTGCGTCCTCGGAAAGAAATTACCATAACCTGAAGAATTTTTGTAATGTCTAAACATCATTTGACATATGTTCTAATAGTTGCCATCACCATTCACCGTGAAGTCTGTGCCAGTTAAAGAATTTAAAACTTTTGCGAAATTTCAGTCGCACATTCAAGAACAACAGTGGTTATTGAGTTCAACTAATAGAAGACGAACTCACGCTCGTCAATGGACGAAAATATGGGCACTGAATTTTCAAACGTATTGCATAATTCTGTTCCAGATCTGTTATCGATGCCAGATTTGATGTTCAGTGTTTATGTCATCATGTTGATATCAAAAAGACTGATTGAANTCCATTACTGGTTCCTTAATTTCAACGCCAATACGACGTTCATAATCAGCAATCGCTTCATGCATCAACAAAAGTTTCCAGTCTTTAATATCACGATTGTGATCGCTTCGATTGAACAGACTGTCCGTTCGATTCACCACAAATGAATTGTCGGATTCGATTTCACGGAAGCGACTCAAAATACAATTGTTTTATGTTGTGATATTGTCATAAGTGTTACGTTTGAGTAAATATTATTTGATTACACGTCGATTTGCGTGCTCAAATGACATAACAAGATGTTTACTGATAGCACAATTGCTTGTTTTGTTCAGTCGTTGAATTGGTGAATAAACATTAGTACAAACATCAGTGAGCATCTCATACTTTTTAACATTCTGAGCGTTACGACTAGTCTTTCTTTCACTTATCGCGTGTGACATTATCTGATCAAGATCAACTTCAGAGATGAATTGAAGTGGTCACTCCAGAGGTGCAATGAATACAGAACCGGAAGTTCAGTTAAATTGAAAGGCGAAAATCTAGTTGAAACGAAGAAATCTTACGTTATCAGCTGACTTTGAAAGTTGTTCCGTCCCTCATAGGCGTCTCTCTGTCGTTCATACTTTTGCAAATTTTCACTTTTTTCGTTTCCTCCTGATGTATGCAAAATTTATCAGATACTCGCAGATATGAATAACTCTTTAGCAGGAAGCACTGATTAATTCGTTGTTTGTCCAACGATCATCAGCTTTTGATGATCGTAAAGTTAATTTAATTTGTTTGGACTGAATTCAGTTAAACACTATCAATTGCTAACGAATTGATCAGAGCAGTTTAAAGTTTGATGCAGAGCAAATGGGTAGACTAGATGAGGAATTTTACACAGAGACACAAACTGATATAATTCTCACACATATGATGCGATAATCATCGTAAATAACATCGTAAAACTTGTCCAATTTGTTTAGGATTCTGCAGTTGTTCCACTCAAATTTGACAACTCATTTGATTCAAAATTGTAGTGTTTTGAAGAAATTTGACAAATTGCTATGTAATGTTTGCTTAGGTAATGCCAGATCGATGTGGAAAAAACAGCTGATTTGTAAGGATAAAAGAGTGAGTGCAAAAAAAGAATGAATAGTGACCTTCAATCGCACTGAATGCTATTCCACCAATAAGTGAATATGCGAATAAAATGATTAACCAAACGATGTTTCGCCATATCGTTCGACCACTCTTCTCTTCCTTCTTCACTGGTTGAGGCGGTATAACTACTTTCGGCTTATCAACAACGACCTGAAGTTAATTTTCGAATGGGGTTAGAGTCAAACGATAGTGGTATGGTGAATGCTAAAATTGCGTTCCACAATCAGAATGTCAACAGCAAAAAGTTCACCATCGGAATTCACATTTGTGCGATGTAAATCAAAAACCAATCAATTTTGAGCAGTTAGCAAGTTCTCCTTCCGTTTCTTCCAAAATAAATCGTTATTTACAATTAGGGTTATCGAAGTGATAATTTCAGGTGGGTCATTTTGAACATATCCACTGAAATTGTTCGTGTAGATCAGTTAATGAGAGCAATGAATCAACACGCTGAACATATGGACAAGCTCTCACGATCCGTGACCTGCTCATGGTTTCGAAATTGAACATATGCACAGTGGAGCAATATGTTCGGATGTTTTTCCTGTTTTATGCTCTTTTTTTGTCGAGAACGAAGATGCAATAGATTAGAAGCTAGGATTTTTTCGTGAGATATATAGCGGAACCCACAACATCAGCAAACAGCTCGAGTCAATCAATAGTCAACAAAAATAAATTTATTATCGTTGTTCAGTTCTGCCATCGATAGCGATTTAATTGTGTTAACAAAAGAGATAAGCTAAAGCAAAGTAGAACTGCACTTGCGAACAGCGTTGGAGTTTTACGGATGGATTCATTCAAAAAGAGTAGGAACAGTTGGTGAACCTATTTTATAGAACGATGTTCGCATATTCGTCAGTCAACCCCGATCGGATCGTTTATAATGTTCAACTCCGATCACATAAAGCTCAATTCATAAACTTTTTCAATTGACCTTTCAATGTTTTACGGAACTGAAGATTTCGAAGGATAATTCGATTTAGTGCGTTGTTTCACTAATTTAAATGTAACTCACGTCTCCAAACTGGACCGAGAATTTTTTCGGCAGTTTCCTTCATGTTTTGAAGTCATCGTGAATCGTACAAGAAGACATGATAAAAGGAGATATGATAAAGAAATGAATGCAATGAATACTGCTCGTTGCGGTTATCTGAGATCAGGTTAATACTTCAGATCACACTCTAAAGTGCTCACCTACATTCTCTTGCTCAATTTTGCTTTGTTGGGCTCTACATAAGTCATAAGTCCATGAACTCCTTCCAGCTATTCGAAGAATTCGTTCACGAATGAATGATCACGTATTGAAAGCAAACACAAACCATCACCACAATTCGATTATAATTTATGTTCACTTGTGGTTCAGAAAGTACAAACATCATTGAGGGAGAGCATCCAATGAGTTGTAAAATCACTGAACCAAATGATCAATTGGATCAGAGTGAACAGAGGATTGATGGATCGTTAGTTCCGGAATAAAATCCCTTAGAATAATCCGTAATAGGCGTAAGTATTCATGCAGTTTGACCACCATACATAAAGACCTTTATGGATAGTGACGATGTGCGGCTAAATTTGCAGCAAAACAAAACTCACACCTCAATTCGTTTACGTCGTCTGCGTCTGTGATGCGGTCTTTCCACTTCATCACCCGCATTAAAAGGCCGTGAATTAGCTGTCAACAAATCCTTAATGAAAATCACTTTACTTGTTGAATGCAAATCAGTTTGAATGTATCGAAGATTGACTGCACTTGCAGCTATTCATTGGAAAATTTCTGATTATTCATTCAAGTGTGCGTCGATCTCCATGAAATGTTGCGAGAGATTCACAACAAATTTGCTGGTTGATTGGAACGTTAATGGGTAGGTAATCACAAAATGATTATCGTCGTGAAAATTTTACAGAGAGAATGCCAGGGAATAATGATGCATCGAATGCGGAAAGAGTAAATTCTGGTTTGTTCCAAGTAACCATCAGATTATTTGGCTCACCTCCACCATTGATGGTGCCCTTACCGTATTCATTCCCATATTTGAATCTTGACGAAATGTTTCAGTTGGTCGACCACGAGTCATCGTGTTTGATTTGGCACTGAATGGGCCATCGGCGGGTGTTCGAGCGCGATGCGATTCCATTATCAAGTGGATTATCGAAGTTGTTTGAGTTGTTTACCGATTCACTTTATGTGTTCATTAACAGATGTATTTATGAATAACAGGTCATCAATAACATCCACACAGCGATCGGTAATCGAGTTCACTTCATTTGTTGATCCGATCGATTCACAGCTGGTCGTGAGCTAAACATAAACATCGAATTTTATTAATGAGCAACGAATCGTCGATCGTAAACGAGAATTCAAAATTGAATATTCAAATATCTGAACAAGCATTTTAACTATTTAAAAGACAGATGCATGGAGAATGTTAACGATTTTGATATGGCATGAAAGCA